CCCCCCAAGAAAAAAAAAAGAATCTGAAACTAATCTAAAAGCATTTTATTTCCAAACAAGACTTCAAACAAATAAAAGAACAAAGTCGAACAAAAAAATCCATCCACGTAAACGAACAAGGTAGCGATATAACGACAATCAGACGCCCCCCCCCCCAAACCACCCCTTGTCTCCCTCCCATCTCCTAAAGTTAACCCATTAGGGGAGATTTGCGAACTGGTGGGGGCAGCCGGCACAGTACAGTTACGCCGAGTCCGGCCCTTGACTTACTGTAAGATAATAGTCTCCGCCTGAACGTTCGCGCCGATGCCAGCCACACCGCTGCGAGGCTATTTCATGGCTCGCAGATTCCTCCCATTATTTTGTCTGATATCGAAACGAATCTTCGGCGGGCGTCCATGTTCTTCGTTCCAATAAATGTCCCGGTTTGTTGATCTTCTTCTTCTCTTCTCTTCAAGGCTTGAGCGACCGTTCACGCGGTTTGGATCGTTAATTTATTTATTACTAAATCAGGCGAGGGGGAAAATGGAGGGAGGAAAAAAACCCAACAACCCAACTGCAAACAAACCCAACGCTCTCTTGTGGAAATAACAGTCTCAGCCCATCCAATGACCATCATCAACATCCTCATCATCATTATCATCATTATCAGGCGTAATTTTTTTTTTTTTTTTATTCCAAGAGGCGTATTTACTCTCTCACTCTGCACCTTTTCAATTAATTTGTTTTGTTTTTCCATTTTGATTAGGGAAGACATTTAGCCTAAGCCCCCTAACAAAAAGACGTAATTATTAGGCGATGAGTGAATCTTTTGAGTTCATCTCTAGAGAGTCGGCGCTCGGCTGTTGTCGGCAACGCCCCCGCGGGAGCTACACAAAAGAATAGTGATAGCTTATGATGGCGATAAAATATCGAGACTATATCATGAAAGAAGAATGCCATTTGCAGAATGGTTTCTGCGTTACGCATTTCACAGTCGGTTCGCGCGGGTGGAAGCCGTTGGATTGTGCGAACATCGAGGAATTAGTGGGACTTGTTGGTTCACTTGAAAAATGGTACACAAAGGATGGTCGTTGTTGTTTGAACAATAGTGTGGGGGTGCTTTGAGGTAAAAGAGAGTTGAGGGAGTAAGTGAATTAGTTAAACAGTTTAACAGCGTGTACACAGTGGCGTATAAGTGGATGTGTATGTTGGGACCTGGCTTTAGGAGTTTTGTTGTTGCTTGTGTATATATGTTCGTCTTTGTATGTGCCTGTAAGTGTTTAAGCATGCGCATGAATGAATGAATATGAGTGTGTGTGTGTGTGTGTGTGTGTGTGTGCTGTCTGTATACCTGAGATTATAACTAGGCTTGATACATTAGTTGAGATAGGGGCTAAAAGTTCAGCGGTAGCATCGCTGCAACAGCAATAGCAATTGCACTGCATAAAGATAATACATTACGAGAAACAGCACTGAAAGCAGCACCAGCACCACCACCAACAATAAGACCGTACTCACACACAACACACATGAACACTTATACACACACATATGACACACACACACACCCACCCACCCACACAC